TCTCACAGTATTTTCATTTTCTTTCCATCCGCTCTTCCAGGATATCCACAGAGCCATAGATGCAGGAGCTGTAGATGGATCTCTCGGGGCAGGGCTCCCTGTGGTCCATTAATTTCATTATGTACAGACGCAGTTTTCTGTGGTGGCCTCTATCAGCTGTAAAGACATGTGACATTGAAGAGGGGTGATAGTTATACTTACCCAACAAAGTTGTCTTGTGAACCAGAACAAAATACTTTAGTCTTTTAATGATAACTATTGAGATACAGTTCAACTTCTTGAAAAATATATACTGATTTTCAGTGTATTCAAGGCTGCATAATCAGCACCACTGTGTAATTTCAGAACATTTTCATCATTCAACAGAGAAACTTGAAGCTGATTGGTAATTTCTCTTTATTTTCCCCTCTGATCTTCCTGTTAACTCCTACTTTATTTTCTGTCCCTGTGGCTTTGCCTAAGATATAAACTCTTAAAGACTAGATAGTTATTTACCAAGCTTCTCTACATGACATGCCTTTTTGCTAATAACTTTTGAAAATAACTTTATGCTAATGCTTCTATATTAATAAGAAGTCTCCCATATATTTATTAATGTTTACAAAATTTTTCTTTTATTCTTAAGATTATAATGTAGTTACATTATTTCTCCCTCCCCCCCTTTCCTCTCTCTGACCTTCCCCATTATATTCCTCATTTTTCTCTGTCAAATTTTCATATTTTTCTCGTTGTTACATACATGTTTGTATGTGTACATACAAATATGTATTCCTAAATATAGCTTGCTCAGCCTGTATGATATGATGCATATGTATGTTTTCAGGACTGACCATTTGGTATTGGATAACCAATTGGAAGAATTTCTTGAAGGAAGAATTTCTCCCATCCTCAACATTCCTTAATTGTGTGTAGTTCTTTGTGCAGGGTTGAGGCCTTACGGGCTTTTCTCCATTCATTTTGTCATGTCTGTTGTTCTTCTTTGGCTCATCTTTAGGCAGTCATGTTGGTGAACGTTTATGATTGTAGTTTCTGACATTAAGAGGAGACATGGTCTCACAGCAAATTCCCTAATTCTCTGGTTCTTCAAGTCCTCCAGACCCCCATTCAGCAGTGTCCCCTGAGTTGTTTTATAGGTGTATCTATTGGATCTGGGTTCCACAGCTCTTCACTTCAGTCATGGTTTTATGTAACAGCTTCTATCTATTACAAAGAGAACTTTCCTTACGAGTGGTGAAGAAAACACTATACACTCATCTTTGAGTAAAAGGAATATTTAGAAATATTTAGATGAGTACTTCTAATATCTCTAAGTATAGGGATAATGCTGGTTTGGTGAAGTGCTGGTTGTTGGATTTCACTAGCACGGAATAGTTGGCTAGGTTTCTAGTACTAGGTGTCATTTCCCTTGTTGAGCAGGTCTTAAGTCCAATTAGAGAGCTGTTGGTTACCGCTAAGGCCTGTGTGCCTCTACTATCCTTACGGTTATTTTGCTAAAGTCAAGATTTAAAAGCTATCTTGAATTCAGTAAACAAACCAGCTCTTACACAAGTGCTCACATAGTTCAAGATCTAGAAAGTGGCAAACAATCTTAATTCTCTTTTCAGCTGTTGGTGTTGTCATGACCATGGAACGAGGGTAGTGTCTCATACATGACTATGTGCTCAGTCAAGAAAGCTTTATTTCTATGACAGGAAAGCAATTAGAATTTAGCTTTCCTCCTATGTAAGTCTCTCCTCTTTGCATTATGCCACACATTTTTCATATGTGTCCAATGATGACTTTAAAGAGTGTGGATTATTTACCCTCTCATTTTTATAATCAAACAGAAATGTGCAGATTTTATCTGTTCTTATGTGGAGGTTGAAATCATAAATAAGCTTAAGGATCAGAAAGAAAAATAAAATGTGTAATGACTTCAATAGCTCATATTTCACAGGTACAAAGTTTATGTAAAAACAGAACAAGCTCATACAGCATTTTCAGCTTGCTTAATTTATGCTTTTAAATAGGTGTAGTCAAAATGTTAAATATTAATTACTGGATGCCATGTATATAAATTTTAATGCTTTAAAAAGCATTAAATTAATTTGGGAGAGAAATATAGTAAAAAAAAAATACATACCTGTAGAGTAGGGGGGGATTATTTTAAAATAAAGTATGTAATTGTCAAGTACATAAAGTGGTAAATATATATGCATACACATAGATGTGTATTATTTACACTTACATATTGTGATCACAGATCAATAGTTTTACTATTTCAGCACCCTGAAGTCTCTCAGTGTCCCCATTTGTCATTTACATTCCTTCAAGACTTAACTATTCTGGCTTTGGTCACTCTATTTTTGTCTATTTTTGAAGTATTTATAGATGGAATGACATAGTAGAGTTTTGTGTTAGGCTCTTTTCATTAATTATCATGTCTGTAAGATTCAGCTATGTTGTTTTTTTATCCACAAGCTTCTCTTTATTGTGTTACACAAATCAATTCATATCTCTTGACAGAGATTTGTTTATAGGTTTTTTTTTTTGTGTTTTTATGACTAAAGTTGGAAAATATTTTTATGCTTGCCTTTTAGTGAATATATTTATTAATGTTATTGGACCAAATAATTCTATAGTTGTTTTCAAGTGCAAAAAATTAATTTGAACAGAGTGGGGTCCAGTGAAATGGCTCGATAGGTGAAGGCAGTTGCTGTGAAGCCTATAACATAAGCTTGATACTGGGCACTACTCAAAAGTGGAAGAACAGAATTGACACTACAAAGTGTTCCTCTGATCTCTACGCACATGCTGCAGCCTATGCTATCTTCTCCTTGTGTCATACACACTCATAGAAACAAAAACAAAAGTAATACTAAGTGCGCTATTATTGCCATCACCATCATTAAAATAGCAGAATGCCAAGTCTGTCTCACAGAAAATTTCAAGTCTGTGTAAGTGGAAATACACCATTTGTCTTTGTTACTTTTTTTTTTTTTGCCATGAATAGACACCATGGTCAAGGTAACTTATATTAAAAAAATAAATAAATAACATTTAATTGGGAGTTTGCTTGTAGTTTCAGACATTATGGTAGTGAGTCTGGCAAAGTGGTCCTGGAGCAGTAGCTGAGATCTTACAGCATGTTGGAACAGCAACCACAAGGCAGAGAGAGTAAGAGAAAGAGTCAGAGACAAGTATATGAGGGAAGGAAGGGACAGAAAGAGGGTTGCTCACTGGGAATGGCATGGGCTTTTAAAACTCAAAGCCCACCCCCAGTGACATAACTCCTCCAATAGGGCCACCTCTCTTAATCCTTTCTGAACAGTTCCACCAGTTGCTGAGTCTGTGGGAGCCATTCTTATTCAAACATTACACCATTTCAGTTTTATAGTAGAGCTGGGGAAAAATAACATTGACTATTTAGGACGGTATCCTATTCTTGCTCTATGTGAGTATTACATGTTTTGTGGTTCAGTAACAGTATGCTAAAAATACATCTATGAAAGACGGCAAACCCTGCACTCACTAAGCAATAACAAGTGATTAGAACACAATGTTGCGAGTACAGTGACAGAAATAGGGCAATATTTAAAACAGAGTGTCCCCTCTAAGTTTAATAAGAGGAGGCATCTTGGAGGAAATGGCATCTAATTTGTATTCTAAATACACTGAAATTAGCTACATGACAGAAGCAGGAGTTGTTATTGAGGTGAGTAGGTTAATGAGAAATTACAGATGATGTTTAGTCTTGGAGACTTGAGATAGTAAAATTAGCTGGCCAAATGGGGACTCAGTTATTAAGGGCCTTTGAATAATAAATATCAAAGAGATTTGATACCAGTCTCAGGGAAGAAGGGAGCCATTGAAGACTGTTTCACAGTCCTGATGAGACCTGATAGGCTAGGGTCAGATGGACTGGAAGGAGGACCTCCTCTATCAGTGGGCTGGGGGAGGGGCAAGGGAGGAGAAGAGGAAGGGAGGGTGGGATTGGGAGTGGATGAGAGGGGGCTACAGCTGTGGCACAAAGTGAATAAATTGTAATTAATAAAAAAATTAATTAACAACACTTTGAACACACAAAGAAGAGTAGAATTAGTCTTTACCTACACAAACCAAGCTTCATCAATTGCCAATTCACAGTCCTCTTGAGGCTGCTTCCTCTCTCACAAGTAGATAAATGAGGCAATTTTGAGTTATTGTTTTATTATTGAAGATTTTTAACAGGAAAATGTCACGATTTATTATTATTAAATATTATAAGTAATTCCAACTTCCCTTTAGAATGCTCACATCATAATTTGGCATTTATCATTTGGTTTGAACTTAAAACTAGAATTAAAACTTTGGCTTTTATAACTAAAAATGTGACAAAATTAAAAGTTTTTAGGATTTAGCTTTGGTATTAACAAAAACCCTAGTGAGAGGAGAGTGGAATTAGACATATTATTTTATGTGATTTATATATGAAAATTGAGGAATTTGGAGTTTATGGTCTTTTTATTAAATATGTTTTACAGTGTATGTACTTACAGAAATGTATTCTGATGGTTAAAATACTATAAATTGCCTTGATTTTAAAGCTCCCTACAGACCACAACTTAAAAAGTCTTACTTGTAATTAGAATATTTCCTTTAATAGCAGTTTACTTTAGTTTTCCTTGAAAGTAGTTTAGTCACTGGTAACTATTGTAATAGTTTATGATAACATTATATTCACTCATTTACTTTGGGAGAACCAGTGATCTGAATCTAAATTAGAGTTTGGCAGACTTTGGTTGCTGAAAATGACGGTTACTTTTTAATGGCTCTTTGGTTTTTGTTTCCTCCCCTCCCCTCCCCTCCATTTGTTTTTTAAAGAAGAATTTATAACAGAAACTAAAAAAAAAAAAAAAAAATTAAATTTGTTAGGGGGCAGGCAGCAGTCAGGCTGTAAAGTGAATAAATAAATTAATGGAGGAAAAAAACTTGTTATAGAACTGGCATTTGAAGTGTAAAATTTTCATTGTTTTCTACAGAGAAGATGGTGAATTGGAAGATGGAGAAATAGATGATGCAGGATTTGAAGAAACACAGAATCAGGATGCAAAAGAGAATGAAAAGCAAAAAAACGAGAAAGCCTACCGAAAATCTAGAAAAAAACACAAGAAAGAAAGAGAAAAGAAAAAATCCAAAAGGAGGAAACATGAGAAACATAAGGTTAGTTAAGCTAACATCACTTTCCAGATGAGACTGTCATCTAATGTCACTCACACTGGCCTTGAATTCATTATATAGCTGGAGGTAACCTTGAATTGACCTTGAAGATGATCAGTCTTGATCCTTTGCTTCCTTTTTCTAAGTGCAAGGCCAGAACTACAACCAAAGACCGTGTCTTAAAAAACCAAAAAAAAAAAAAAAAGGCATTTTTTAATGAAAAGCTACAATTCAAAATGAAGATATACATTATTAATATTTTATTTTTAATTTTTTTTTTGTTTGTTTCTCAAGTTAGGGTTTGTCTGTGTAGCTCTAGCTGTGCTACTTACAGATACTTGTCTGCCTATGCCTCCTGAGTGCTGGAATTTAAGGCATACGCCACTACACCCAGTTTCATTATTGATACTTTATATTCTTCAAAGTAACAATTGTCACAAAGCAGAAACTGTTAATGTCTCTAGGAAGAAATAGAGTGTACAGGCTAATATACCTCTCCTAATTTAGAGAGATCAAGTAATGACAACAAACTTATCTTGATTACAAGTTTATTGGTTACAAGTTTATTGATTATGGTGTCTATTTCAAACCCTAGCCAACAATGGCTATGTTTGAAGTATCTGATAGCATAACTAAAACTATTGTTCATCAAATCAATAAAATCAAGATTAAAATCAGAAAACCAAATTCAAAACATTTAGAAGCAAGGCAGTTTTTTTTTTTTTTTTCTTTATAGGAATGCTTAATAGAATGGAGGAAAACAGATCCTGCTTCTATAAGAATCTTAGAGTTCAGTTCAATTAAATAGAATTTTACATATATGGTGCTATACTTAGAAGCTGGGAATGCACAGATAATAAAATTCAGAGCCAGTGTTTTTGTTGCCAAGAATACTAAGAACTGCTTAAAGAACTCAAGTTGAGAAGGTAATTATTTTGGCCAGCCAAAAAAATGGTTTGTATGCTGGAGGCAGAGACAGATGGTTATCCGTGACTTTGAGGTTAGTCTGGCATACATAGAGACTGCCAGGCCAGCTGGAATTACATAGTGAGACCTTGTCTCAAAATATAAAAACAAAAATTACTTGTTGATTTTTACATTTGAAATTACACTATAACTTTAAACTTTTTCTGGTTATTTGCCAACCAATATCAATCAGTTGGGGTTTCGGTTTATGTAAAAGTAACTTTTATTTATCTCTATCAATTGTTGTCTCGAATGCTTATTGTTTCTTTCTGCTAGCCTAGCCCTAGAAACTTCTAGCCCCCACACAATCTAACCTAGGCCTAGAAAGTTTTCAGTCTCTCAGACTTACTGTTTAATAAACTCACCCTTGTTCCTACTTGACACATAGCTGGCTCGCTCAACTCAGCTGTTCTGGCTCAAACTCCTCTCCCAACTAACTGACATTCAATCTGGCTTTTCTCTTGACTCCAGAATTGCTCTGCTTGGCCTCAAATTAAGTCAGCCATCTGCTCTAATCTTGTGGCTCCTCATTCTCTGGCTCATTTGGTTTTCACCTGAGTTCTCTTTCTGCAACCTATTACTGTCCCAGTAAAACTGATTCTTTTTATCTGTATTGCCCATTAAGTAGCTTCCCTTTGCTCTCTCTTCTCGTGAGAGTTGGTCATATCTGTCAAATCTTTCTCTGATTCTTCACTGTTTCTGACACTCAATTAGACATCACTTTTAAACATGGATGCTTCCTTCCACAAAGTAACTTTACCTTCATTGTTTGGGATTAAAGGCATGTACCACCATGCCTGCATCTAAGCTTTTCTTTACCTGAAACTTGCTCTATACCAGGTTGGCCTTGAACTCAGATCTGCTTGCCTCTGTCTCGTGGGTTAAAGGCATGTTTGTATTTCAGCTGGATCACAGAGACCTAGAAGGTCTTTGGATGTGATCTCTTGCCAGAACATCCATGTTTAGTTTTGTTTTAATTTTATGGGCTGGATTTATTTCATGTAGGTAATTTGGAATAGTTTTAGGATTTTCATACCAGTAAATAACTCCAAAGCAACTTTAGACAGAACTAAATGAGTGCATATGCTACTCATGTTCTGGGACCTCTTTTGGTGATAAGGAACCAATTTTATTTCCTTTAATATTAGCTTAAACTAGCATAGTTGGCACATAGTTGGCACACCCATAATCCCAGCTTTGGAGGGGCTGGGGCAAACAGGTATAAATGTGTAAATGTCAGATCATTTTAGAGCCAAGTCATTTCTGTATTAAGCTCTTGGCATAGGGTTGATGAGAAACGTTATTTCCGTAAAGTCTGAGCAAAAGGGAAAAAAAGACTTCAGCCTAGAAGTAGTGGTAGCCTTTAGAACAAGAAGTTCTCAATGTCACCCAAGAGTCTAAGGGAATAATGTAGCCTACTGGTTGGCTCCCTCAGCTAAAACAAGCTTATGTGATTATGAACTAATTTCCTTCTTGTGAACATAACACATTTCTTTGTTTCCTTTCAGCATAACTCTCCATCTGGTGATGATAGTTCAGACTACAGCCTGGATTCAGAGGCTGAACATATGGAAAGTTCCTATAAGAAAAGAACTAGCTTCTACAGGGATTATGATGTTCCATTTTCTCAGGTACTCCTCTTTTATTGTGATAAAGCATGCATAACATAAATTTACCATGTAAGTGCATTTCCGTATGATTTAATGGCAATAGATAACATATGCAGTATTTAGCCATCACTGTGGCCCATCTCCAGAATTTCTTATTCATGTGAAACAGAAATCCTGTACCTAGGAAGCAGTCTTGCTCCTCACTCCTTTAACTGCTAGCCTCACTTTCTGTTAATTTGCTCTTTTGGGGCCTTGTATCATATGCTGTTTGTCCTTTCGGATATGGCCTATATTACTCAGCATGTTTTCAGGGTTCATTCATGTTGTAACATATATTAAAATTTCATTCTTTTTAAGATGGAACACTGCTCCACTGTGTTTACTACATTTTTGCTTATCTCTTCATCACTTGAGGGATTCTTGGGTTGCTTGCACTTTTGGCTGTGTAACTGACCTGTTTATTATGATGGGTGTAAAATTGTCTTGAAAACCTTTCTTCATTTCCTTGGAGCCTATGCCTAATAGTGAAATCATTGGTGGTTCTTTTTAACTTTCTGAGGAACCACCAAGCTGTTTTTCACAGACTGTACTGTTTTACATTTCCAGCAGGCATGCTTGAGGCATCTTCCCTGCATCCTTGCCAGTGCTTGTTCTTCTCTGTTTTTATTGGCAGTGGGGCATCAAAAAGGAGTGTTGAAGAGGAATTCATGTTGGGTTTTTTTGTTTGCTTGTTTTTTGGTATTGCCTTTTAAAGGTGGAAATTACAAGTTTAAATTGCATATTTTAAAGAAATACGTGAAAAGCTGTTTTTCATGTTAGCTTATGTTTGTCAGATACATGCTACAAATTCCCAAATCTTGGAGAATAAAGAATGCATTATGTATCAAGTTTACTGGAGTTGGTGTGGTGTGTGGACCACATAATAGACATTTATTTTCTGAGTCTGAAGGCTAAAAATTCATGTTCAAGATGCTAGCAGGGTTGGTTTCCAATGGCAGCTATATGGAAGAGTCTGTTTAGGCCTTTCTGTCTCTCTGGTTTATAGATAGGTGCCTTCTCACAGCTTTGTTTTCACATGACCATGCTGCTGCGTACAGCAACCCCTTGTGTCTTTGAATGCACAAATCATCTCTCCTTATAAGAACACTAGTCCTATTGTATTAAGGCCCTGTTTCCAAATGAAGTCATATTCTGAGCTATGAGGGGTTAGGGCTTCTGCATGGGAATTTGGGAGCGATACACTTTCACCTGCTGGGCATCAAAACTCTTTATTGAATTTTGTGAATGTATGTGACATTAGCCTCTTTAAATGCAAAAATCATTTAAATGTTTTTAAAGTGAGTGCTAGAACACTTGCCCAGCATGTTCCAGGATCCATACCAGCAATAGAAAAGAAAACAGCCATGAGGCAATACTTTACTTGTTTCTTAAGTATGGGTATTGTATGAACAAAGTCCTTATGTAAGTATTTGTAGGCGTACTTTTTTTTTTAACTCCTTTATGTACATTTATTTTATCTTTTTCTCCTTGATCCGCCCCAATCCCTTCCAACACCCAAATTATAGTTTCTCTATGTTTTGTAGTTTTATTCCATTTTGGTCAAATAGAGCACAGAAATTTTATTTTCTCTTCAGGTAGGAGAGAGAAAGGGTTGGTTGGAGAGGGGCGCAGTTCTCTTAGCTGCTTCAGGCTGGTAAGGTTCATCAGATTCCTTGGAGCCAGTCCAATCCTTGTTTCAGGAGATTTCCAACAAGATCTTTTTGTCTCTCCACAACAACCAAGAGCAGCCAGGGGAGTTGGGGGGAGGGGGGGAAGCAGGAACTTTCTCCCAGCTCCACACTCTCTGGGCTCTGGCATTTATTCCCTCTCCAGAGTCTTCAGATTTAAACTATCAGCAGCTGGCAAAGAGCTCCTCTCAGTGCCCGCATGAGGCAAATAGTCTGCTGCTGTGGACCATCTGAATCAGTCCCACATCCCACACCCGGGACCAAAACAAAACCATGTTTACATCCACAACAAGTAATAAATAATACTGTACTAGAAAAGCACTATTATTTTCTATAAGAACTGTATTCTTTTTCTTAATTTGAGTTTCTCTTGAGTTTAGAAACCAAATTAATCTGTTTGGTTGTATCTTGTATCTTTCTGTTTTCTTTTAAAAAAAAATATTATTTTGTGTGTATGTGCACACACTGGCCCCTGGGGCTGGAGTTAGAGATTGTTAGGAGATGCCATCTGAGTGCTGGAGACTGAACACTGGTCCTCTGGAAGAGCAGCCAGTGGTAATAACTGCTGAGCCACCTCTCCAGCCTCATCTTGTCTTTGTGTGTGTGCACAAAGTATATGTGTTGTGGATGCATGTGCACCTGTGTGTGTACATGTGAAAGAAGACAAACCTTGACTGTCATTCAGCCACTCCCAGCTTGCCGTTTCTGTTTGCTTGTTTGTTTGTTTCACTGAAGATTTATTTTAAAAGATATATCTATATGGGGGGGGGGTGTAAAAATGAGTATCATGGGGCTAGGGGTCTTAGATCCCCTGGAACTGGAGTTGCTGGTGATTGTGAGTTTCCTGGCATGAGTTCTAGGAATTAAATCTTAACCAGTGAGCTGTTTGTTGCAGGATATTTGGTCCCATCGTGAACCTGGAGATTGCGACCTGGGAAAATCTATTTCTAATTGTGGTCTGGCTCAGCCTTTGATCCCAGAGCTTTTGTTTACTGTAAACTGGCATGTGTGGCTTGGCTCAGCCCTTAACATAAACCTTTAATCCAAGAGCTAAACAAAGTCAACCATAGGTCAAGAGGCAAGCAAGCTGAGCTGACAGAGAGTAAACAGAAACAAAGGACATTGAGTTGTGGGTATTTAAGACAGTAAGGAGAAAGAGAAGGGCCTTTTTCCTTCTGGGATGTCGGTAGACTTGGATTGTCAGGTGGTACTTTCTCTGCCTCTGTGAGCTAGCAGGCCTTCACCCCAGCGTCGGGCTCCCAAGTCTTCACTGGTAAAATCAAATCATTGAGATTTTATTTTAAAAACAACACTGAGCTATCTCTCCAGCCCCAACTCACTTAATTTTTGAGAAGATGTCCTTCATTGGCCTTTGTCAAATTGGCTAGGCTAGCTTCCAATGAACCAACTAAGAAAAAGCTCATGAACTTAAAGAGACTGAAACAGCAAGCACAGGGCCCACTTGGGTCTGACACTGCATATATTATGGTTTTCAGCATTTTTATGGTGTCTGATCGCCATGATTTTGAGTGTGTTCTGTAGTTTCTCTTATTGAGAGAACTATAGTTTCTCTATGTTTTATAGTTTTACTCCATTTTGGTCAAATAGAGCACAGAAATTTTATTTTTTTGTATTTGTTAAGATTTTGTTTATGTTCTTTTACATGACTTATTTTAGAAAAAGATCATTGGGCTGTTGCTGAAAACTTGTATATTTTGCAATGCTTGAATAGATGTGCTGTGGTTGTTTGTTAGGTCCATTTGATTTATGATATGATTTAACTCAAATATTTCTCTTTTTCTTGTAACAATAACCCATGTTGAAGTCACCCCCATTATTGTACTGAACTTAATCTTTACATCTAGTAGCAGTTATTGATGAGATTAGGTTCACCTGTGTTTGGAATTGTACTGTCCTCCTGAGAAATGGCCTTCTTTTTTGTTTTGTTTCATTTGTTTTTCAAGACAGGGCTTCTCTGTGTAGCCCTGGCTGTCTTGGAACTCCCCCTGTAGACCAGGCTGGCCCTGAACTCAGAGGTTTGCACACCTCTGCTTCCCAAGTGCTGGGATTAAAAGGCATGTGCCACCATAGCCCAGCATTTTTTTTTTTTTTAACTCTTCTAATTTTTGTGTGAAGTCTATTAGAAGAGTGTTACCTGCATATTTTGAATTTCTATTTTCTTGGAATATCTTTTTAATCCTTTTAGTCTAAGGTTATGTATGTTTTGTTTTTATAAAATTTGTACATATTTTAAAAAATTTTCCCCATTTTTTCATTGTACTGAAAATAGATCCTTGGGCCAGGCATGATGGCACATACCTTTAATCCCTTAATGCCATTAGTCAGGAGGCAAAGTTAGGTGGATCTCTGTTAGTTTGAAGCCAGCCAGTATAGAGAGTAAATTTCAGGATAGCTAGGTCTGTTACACAAGAGAAACTCTGTCTCAAAACACCAGAAGGAAAACAAAACAAAATAAAACAAAAAAAACAACAACAACAAGAAAAAAAATAAAAAAGATCCTTTTCTCATACAATATGTCCTGGTTAGAGTTGCCCCTCTCTCTACTTCTCCCAGTTCTTCCCTACCTTCCCTCCTGTCCAGATCCACTCTCTTTTTGTCTCACGTTAGAAAAGAACAGACTTCTAGGAGATAACCACCAAACATGACAAAATAAAATATAATAAGATGAAACTAAAATCATCCCATCAAGGCTGGACAGGGGAACCCAACAGAAGAAAAAGAGCCCCCAAAACAAACAAGCACAAGAGTCAGATTCCCTCTAATTTACACACTCAGGAGTCCCACAAAAATCCTAAGATGACAACTATAATATATACACAGAGGATCTGGGACAGTCCTAGGAAGGCTCTGTGAGTTCATATGAGACTTGCTTAGTTGACTCAGAGGATCTTGTGCTCCTGATGGCCTCCATCCCCTCTGGCTTGTATATTCTTTCTGCCTCCTCTTCAATGGGGTTCCCTGAGCTCTAAGGGGAGGGATTTGATGAAGATATCTCATTTAGAGCTGTGTGTTACAAGGGTTCTCTCTCTGCTAGTTTTTGGTTGTGAGTCTCTGCATCTATTCCTGAATAAGGCACTGAACTATGACTATAGCAAAATATCATTAGGAGTCATTTTATTGATAGTTTTTTTTTTTTTTTAAGACTAGTACTTTTTGGTTTTATACTAGGTCTCTGAGATATCTAGTCTCTCATTCTTGGTCACCCAAGCAGTGTTGGGAATGGGACCTTAGCCAGATCAGACATTGTCAGTTCCCACCAGTTCTATGCCATGGTTGACCTAACATACCTTGCAAGCAGGACAGATTATAGGTCAAAGGTTTTATGGCTTGGTTAGTATTTATGTTTCTCTTCTGGTAGCCTTCAGGGTACCATTCTGCACCAAAGACACTAGAACTTAGGGGTGAAGATTCCATGTAGGCACCAGTGTGACTTCTCCGTGTTTGGTGAGTTCTGTTGGTGTAATCCTTGTCAATAGGACCCTGCTGTCAGCTTTCGGAGAGCAGCCCTCTGTCCTAGCACCAGCCTGGTTTGGGGATTTTCATTGGACCCCCTTGTCCAACAACTAAATTGAATGCAACCTAGACCCAGCACTGGAAATCTTGTTCAGTGACAAGAGATGGCCAGTTGGGGCTCTCTCTTCCCTATTAGGAGACTTCATTAGGATCACCTTCATATATTTTAGGAAGTTTCCACTGCACTGGGTTTTTGTATTATCCTTTAAATGCTCCTTGATTCTGCTGTCTCTCCCTACATTTCCTCCCCCTCCCCACCAGATCCTCCCATTCTGTCCCCAAGCCCCCACCCCCAGTTCACCTCTACGGTATTTGAACTTTCAGTGTTTGATATTTGCATCTTTTCTTTATTCTTCCCAAGCTGCTTCGCTATTTTCTTTAGTTATAGAAAGGCCTTTTGTGATTGTACAGGTCTGAGGGGAAAGGTTTCCCTAATATGAGGATTATAACTTTGAAGGGAAAGGTGTCCTGGCATTCAAGATCCAAGGAATATCACAGTCACACTGCACGACAAACATCACACAAGAGATTTATTGGGAAAGACAAAAGGATGGCTGCCTCCGCTCAGGCGAAAAGCAACAAAGAACTGAGTGGGAGATAGGTTTTATGTCAAGTTTTTTTGGGGGTGGGGTGGGAGAGGAGAGCTTTCCAGAATGGGGCTTTCCAAGGTGGGGGATTGGTGGGATTTCAAGTCCTAATCTTGGGATGAGTTCAGGGATTGGTGGTGTTTCAAGCTCAGGGATCAGTAGGGCTTCAAGCCCTGAAATTGAGCCCAGGCTTTTTATTTTTAGGGCAGAGCTTGGCTGCCTGAGACTGGAGAGGCTGGGTTTGGCCTTTACAGTGTCTTTGGAGGGAGCCTGATTGCTAAAGGTCCTTGGGTCAGGGCCTGGTCTACATGCCTTGAAGGGTTTATACATTTTCCTTTGGAAAAGTAATTTATATATGATTGTATGGATTTAAAAATATCTGTGTGCTTATGACTATTTAGACACAAAACAGTATAATGTTTAATAATATAAGTGACATGTAGTGTACTGAGTTTAGTGTTAAATATGGTCATTAAGAAATACCAGTGTAGTCAGAAACAATGACTGTCTTCTATCCTTTGTTCTCCCAACTTTCTGGGGAAAAGATAATCTACATTGTTATCAGTTGCTATCGTTAGTTGAACATTTCTGATAAGGATTATCTGTTTTTACCTAGCATGGACGTATATCAGGAAGCTACATGACATCAAAGAAGAGACAACATAACAGAAAATTTAACAATAAAGAATATGCTGAGTCCAGTTTCTATAGTGATGATAACTTTGGTAACTACAGTGATGACAACTATGGTAACTACAACCAAGAAGAAGAAGATTTTTCCAGTCAACTGAAATACTATAGACAATCGCAGGAATCATCAGGATCATCATTTTCTAAAGAATCAGGGAAAAAACAGAGAACTAAAGGAAGCCCACCAGGTGAGTTTAAAGTTAGTCTGTCTTAGATGTGAGAACCATATTGGTTTACAGTAACACAAATTTCTTCACTCCTTTTCGAAATTAGCTAATTCCTGTTGTTTCTAACTTCATTTTTCTGTGCTATGTAGACCTAGACCTTGAGGCTAAACATATGGAACTGACTAAATCTGAATGATATCTTAATAGTTCAACTAGAAAAGTAATTCTGATATTTTAATTGTATGTAACATTATAATAAAACACATTTAATTCCAGCACATAGTTTTCTCTTTTATGCTATTTATTAACTTATAGTTTGGAATGATAAAGACAATAATGGGAGCTGTTCTTTAGTCTTTAAAATATGGCAGTTACCTTTGCCATGTAAATGAACATAGGGTTATGGACATCCTTTAAGAATGAAAATAATATAAGTTTTTCCAAGATTTATTTATATTTTATGCACGTGAGTGCTCTGCTTACATGTATATGTATGCCTGGCATCCTTACAGGCCAGATGAGGGCACTGGATCCTCTGGAATTGGAACTACAAATGACTATGAACCACACTGGGAACCCTGGTCCTCTGCAAGAGCAGCAAGTGCTCTTAACCACTGAGCCTTCTCTCCAATCCCCAATAAGAATATAATTTAAGGAAAGTTCTGCATTATATTGTGGTGTGTGGTTCCTGGGGAGACTAGGGCAAGTTGTCAGCTGATAATAGTAAATGAAGAAACTACCAACTATATAAGGCTTTAATTAACCTTAATGGCTTAGTATTGGGGGCATACATTCGCCATAATTTTCCAGTATTTTATTTATTTATTTATTTACTTGTTTGTTTGTTTGTTTGTTTATTTTTAAGAAAGTTTCTCTGTAGCCCTGACTGTCCTGGAACTTGCTCTGTAGACCAGGCTGGCACTGAACTCAGAAATCTGTCTCTGCCACCTGAATGCTGGGATTAAAGGCATGTACCACCACATCACACTCAAATCATATTTTAAAATACTGATTTTCTACTTTGTGTGTTTTGCCTGCATATATTATGCACCACATGTGTACAGTGCCCTTGGAGACCAGAGTAGGGCACTGGATCTCCTGGAACTGGATTTTACAGAAAGTTGTGGCTGCTGGGAATCGAATCTGAGTCCTCTGGAAACTCAGCCAGTGCTCTTAACCACTGAACCATCGCTCTAGCCCCCACCACTATTTTTAATAGCAACAAAAATATTTTTACAGCTTACTTTTCTTCTTAGCTATGAATAATGTCCCAGTTACTCTTTAATTAACAAACAGCCTTTAACACCTTCATTCTATTGAATTAGTAGATGTAACAAATTAGTACCACAATTTATTTAAGCAGATCATTAGATTGGTTTGGTAGGATGGTAATTATTTGAGATTTAGTTTTCACCCAAATTTTTCCAAATTCTGTGATTGAGCCTGCAAAAACCATATTCACACGTATCTCAGAAAGTATCTTGTCAATCATATTTTTACTTGCGTATGAACTAAAGGGGCTGGAGAGATGACTCGGCAGTTAAGAGCACTTTCTGCTCCTGCAGATGACCCAGGTTTCTTTCCTGGTTCCCACATGGCAGCTCACAGCTGTCTGTAACTGCAGTTCCAGGGGATCCAATGTCTACATCTGACCTTTGAAGGCACTGCTCATGCATGTGGTAAACATGCATACATACAAGAAAAACACCAATACAATAAAGTGAATAAATCTAATCTTAAAAAAGAGTAGATTTTAAAGGGGGCATGGTTGTGGATGCCTTAATCCCAGCAGCAAGGAGGCAGAGGCAGGAGAATGTCTGTGAATTCAATGCCAGCCTGGTTTATGTAGTGAGCTCCAGAACAACCAGGACTACATAAAGACCAAATCTCAAAACAAAAAGAATGAATTATTGACCAGATGTGATGGCTTATGCTTGTAATTCCAGCATTTGGGAAATTGAGACAGGAAGGTCACTGGGAGTTCTAAGCCAGCTGGGTCTACAGGGTGAGACCCTGCCTCAAAACAGAGACAAATGAAAATAATTATTAAAAGCAAATCTCCACAATTAAAGACATAGTCACACACATAACATTGTTATCCACAGACTAAGTTGACATCTGAAAAAATGATATACCAATATTTATAACTGCAGATATAAAAGCGGAACAATCTCTAAATTCCTATCAGCACAAAATATAGTTTTTGAGCTAGAAATTAGTGTGTTCTCTGCTATTTCTTTATTTTTAGATCAGTTATTTTTAAAGAGTGTGTGTGTATCTGCATGTGGATGTGTGCACATGAGTTCAGGTGCCCACAGAGGCCAGAAGAGGGCTTCAGATCCCCTCGAGCTGGAGTTAAGGATGGTTGTGAGTTGCCTGACATGGGTGCTGGGAGCTGAATTCAAGTCTTCTGCAGAGCAGTGTGTGTTCCTAACCTCTGAGCCATTTTTCTAGCCATTTTTCTTTGATTTCCTGCAATAAAGTAAAGCTTTCCACACATTTATTTTCTAGGTCATTAGAAAAACTTACTGGTTCTGTTTAACTTTGATAAAATATAAAAATTATGTTGTAATTTGTTATCATGTTTGTGTTGTTTGTTTTGAGACAGGGACTTGCTGTGTAACCCTAGCTGTCCTGGAACTCATGGCTCTACCTCCCGAGTACTGACATACAATTTTTTTTAAATTGGACGTCTTTTCAGATGCTTTATTTTTTTGTAGTGGTGGATACTGAACCTAGGGTCTCAGGTATGCCAGGAAAGAACTCGACCACTAAGCTGAATCCTTGGAGCACCCTTTTCTATTCTTTTGGAGGTACAGCATTTCACTGTGTAGCCCAGGGTAGTCTCAAACTTGTGTTCCTTCTACCTCAGCCTCTAAAGTTCTAGGATCAACGTCTGCCATGCTAGGAAGACACTTAGAAATAACATTTTCATAAACAACCAACCAAGGAAGAGTGTGTGTGTATATGGATACAAAATTGTTAGTAGAAATCTGGATTGCTACATACATACCACTTGTATCTATATCTGTCTTACAATAGGAATATAATGGTTTGTTCTCTTAAAAAGAGAGAGCTTGTTAATCATCTTATCCCAAGAGGGTGAGGGGAGAGACAAGAATGGCTTCTCTAGGCATGGATACTTTTAAGCCTTGACTCCTGTGTAGCTGACTCTTTCATCTTCTGAGCAGGAAGCAGTTCTCAAAAAGCAGAAATGGGTTAACCTTTTCCCTGGCTCTTGGGGGAAAGAAGGATGATTCACTATATAGACTGTTAAAAAATTTGTATTGGTTCTTGTAAGCTAATAGATGTTACACTGCTTTTCGGTAATATTTGAAGTACATTTTAACTTTTTTAGGTACTGAGTATCGGATTAAAAGTTTTAATGTTAGTCATGGACATATTTTACCGAAGAAAATTAGAAGAAAAGACCACCACGGGGCAAGAGTCACTAAAGGACCTAATGTCTTTTCAGGAACGGATGACTTTCAAGAGGTACTAATAATTTATGTATAAGGAGGAGAAGACCTTTTTTGTTTTTGAATCATTTGGTTGCAAAGGAAGCATTATGATTATAATGCTACTATCTGAATAAATGAAAAATTTGTAGCTAAGATCTAATAAATAAAATCCTCCCCAAAGAATTTTTTAAATGAGTTATGGTGTTAGTGTAGAGGTACACATTTAAGAGAACTAGAAATAAAATGAGTATGTAAGAAGTCTCAAAATATAACTCAGAAAAAATCCACATAGTGGATGTCTTGTTTTTCCAAGCAGAAACATCCCCTATTCCTCCTTTACTGTCCTCTCCTTCCTAAGGGGTCATTTTCCTCAATACAAAAATCAGTAACAGGGTAATAGCTCAGTGGGCCAAGAAGGAAGGTGATGTAAGTTTATCAGAGCTGGAGTCGTTGAAAAGGGGGAAATGGATATAAATGATCAGAAAGATGAACTTAAGTACTTTTCATGTAATACTTATTCAACAAATCCATGTTAAATTGTGCTGAATTCTGAACATGTGCATTTTAGCAGCTCTGATTTGGAGGTATCCAGTTCCTGTATTCTGTTATGGTTCTAGCTTGACTCAGTTAGTTGGAGGTAAGAGTGGGCTTTTAAATGCTCTCGATACATTTTATGTATTTTGTGTTCATGTGTGACAGCATACATGGAGGACAGAAAACAACCTGAAGAAGTTGGTTGTCTCTTTCCACCATGTGGATCCCAGAGGGCCTGGTTTGTTGTGCCTCTACCACCAGGCTATCTCACAGGCCCCAGAGTGAACTTGAAAACAGCAACCTTGAGTAAACTACATGCTATAGTTATATTAAAAAAAAAAAAAAAAAAAAGCTTGGTTTTGGTCTGGAGAGATGGCTTAGCTGTTAAAAGTACTTACTGCTATTGCAGAGGACTCAAATTCAATTCCCAGTACACACATGATGGCTCACAACCACCTGTAACTCCAGTTTTAGGGGATCTGACACCCTCTTCTGGCCTCTTTAGGTACCAGGCACACAAATGATATACATGCATACCGTATGAAAAATTCCCATACACATAAAATAATTTTTTAATTTAAATGAGAATTTATTAGAATGTAACAACCCAGGAAGTTAACATGCTTAATATACCTAGAAAATTTGTATAATAATACAGACTTTTTATGATGACAAAGAAAGTAAATGATAATGGAGTTGAATATGATGACCATGGAATAGAGTGGTCATGAAAGAAACCAACATCTTTGATTTGCGAATGATTAGAACATAAACTTCAGTGTCACTAATTACAAATAGCTATGAGACATGCCTGAGTCACTTCTGTCCTTCAAAGAAATAAATCAATTAAAATGCTTGATTTTCCAGTGGCTGTTTAGATAATTGGCAGAAGTTTCTTGGTATGTACTACTTAGAATACCATTTAAGGTTATATTCACAAGTTTGATCTAAAAATAAAAATGCTATAGAAATATTTGCACCCCATGTTTATTGCTGCTTTATTCACTATAGTAAAGAGTTGGAATCAGCCTAGTTGCCAATCAACACATGAATGGGTAATGAAAATTTATAATATATAAAAATTGATAGCCGGGCATGGTGATGTATGCCTCTAATCCCAGCACTCAGGGAGGCAGAGGCAGGTGGATAAATGTGAGTGCGAGGCCAGCCTGGTCTACAAAGTGAGTCCAGGACAGCCAATGCTATATAGAGAAGCCCTGTCTCTAACCCCTGCCCCAAAGATACTATTCAGTTCTAAAAAAAAAAAAAATCACAAAAATTTCAGGAAAACAGATGAATGTGGAATATGCAAAGTGAAACTAACTCACAAACAATGTTTTCACCCTCATATGTAGAATCCAGCCAATAATAAACAAATGCCCATGATGTGGGTACAGTAGAGCCTGTAGAAACGAGAACAAGAAAGGGCACAGATTGGGGCAGAGAAGGGACTGATACAAACAGTGAACACGAGTTATGAAAGAGGGCATAAGACTAATTACTTTTCTAGCACTAACTCTGTCCTGGGTTTTCAGTTGACATGGTGGATATGCATAAAATGTATTCGGTAGTGAAGGTGTAAAATCCGTGCTTCTCCAGCTTCCTAATGCTGCAACCTTTAACACAGTTCAATAAAGTTTAAAAAATTAAGTTTGGGCCGAAGAGATGGATCAGTGATAAAGAGCACTTGTTTTTTGCAGGGGACCTTGATTCCCAGCACCCACATAGTGGTTCACAACCATTCATAAGTTTAGGTCCAGTGCATCTGACCCCCTTCTCTGACTTCTAATGGCACTAGTCATTCACAAGGTATACAGACACACAAACAGGCAAATCAATCATACATAAAAATAAATTTGAATTTTTAAAAAAGTTTATGCCCCGATTAGTTTGTAAGACCCAGGAATGCCAGCCTGCTTTGAGGAATGTCGGTCACCGTTTTGTGTCTGAAACGTTCTGAGCAGGTTAGGTATAACAAGGCCTCTTTGTCTTTGTTCATCTGTCATTTTCAGTCATCCTCCTTTCCTCACCTACTAACGTTTACTGAGTTGTTCCCGTTCTATGGATAAGAGCTTCATATTATAATTTACACTATTATTATATCTGTTCATTTTTCTGGACATACTAGATTTCTTAAATGTGCTGCTTCTAGGTAAAGTAACTTTACTTACTTTCTAAGTAAGTCTGCTCCATTCCTGATGCTTATGCAATATGCCTAGAAATAGTTATCAAGAAAGTGCCTTCAAGCAGGTTACAGTCTGTTCTAGCCGTTAATCTGTAAGATGAGGGTATATAGTGTTACCTATCCTGAAGATGCCTGCAAGCACTAGTATTTTTAATGTCTGTTGATACAGGCTCCAACTAAAAGTTTATTTATTATGGAGTAGGAAAATCAAGATTAAAATATATTATCAACTATGTCAGTTAACGAGGGGAACTTTGTGTGTATACACGCATGGATGTCAGTGTGTGTTCACGTATGGTGCACATGTGTATGCATGTGAAGGCCAGGTAGAACCTCGTATGTATTCCTCAGGAGCTGTGCACCTTCTTTGAGACAGGGTATCTCAGTGGCCTGGAGCCCCTTGATTAGACTGTTTAGTTGGCCATGAGCCCAAGAATGTGCCTGTGTCCATCTTCCAAATCACCATGTCTGACTTTTCCCATAGGTTCTGGGACTCAAACATTGGTCCTAGTGCTTGTGACACATTCACTTCTTTGACTGAGCATCTCCCCAGCCCAGAGATACTTCTTAGGATTCCAGGAGCACACAGGCATTCAAGGGAAAGGGAAAACTTACCAAGTTAGAACAAGTAGTCACCGGAGTCATATTAAGATCAAAGCATAGTTCATGCTTGAAAAACATTATTTTATAAAATTTATTAATTAAATAATTACATTTAGCCTGCTTCACTGATGTATTCTGCCTCCTTATTCCATCTTGTACTTAGGGCAAAAGTTGAATAGGAAGGGGCAACTATGCAAACAAGTCAGACTATGAGGTTTCTTCTTCATCTGACGTACTTTTTTCTCTTACCTTTTAAGTTTCACTTCTGGCCTTTCTTCCCTTAAGAAAGTGCAAATTTTCTCATCCTCACCACCCAGAAATGTGGGCTGAAATGGGAAGATAAATAATTTTAGCTATTATCTTTGCTTTTACTTATTATTGTAAATTGGATCAGTTTTTCGTTCCATAAAGTATTATGAGCATATCTTGTATTCTTGTTTTTCTATAACATTATTGTATTTTAAGGCAATATCATAATATTCTACAGCCTTAATGAATCATAGCATAGCTTACTGGTTTCCTGGTTTTGTATATGTCCAGTGTTTTCCAGTTTTAAGTGGTTTTGCAGTAATTATTGTAAATAAATTTGTGTGTGTGCATTCCTGTTCTTAGATTAATTCTGAAAATTCGTAATTCTGTATTTAAACGTGATATAGCTGTTTACTGTTGTAGTGCTGGGGATGGAACCCTGGGCCTTATGCACCACTAAGTAGAAGCTGACACACTGAGCTGCAGCCCTGGCATCAGAGTGGGTGTTTTAAAGTTGCTTATGACGTATTGGTCAGCAGTACATGAGAGCCTATGTTTTATGTCACCCTTGCCAAATTGAGTAATACTATGAAATTTAAGGCATCTTCTACTTTTATTTTTAAAAAATGTCTTTAAAGAAAAAGGCTCCCTTGCAGCCAGTAGTAATAAACAAGACTCCAGAAGCATGTGTCTACAATCAAAGTGAGTACAGTTTGTCTGATCTTGATTACTGTTCATGTTCATAGCCAGTTCATACTGCTTTCCAGAGCAATGTAATTATGTCTTAGTACCTGTTGATATTTCATGTCTTATATTTAAGTGAGTTTCTTCTTGCAGTACAGCAAACCAGGGAAAAAGTGGAAAGTTATGACTCAGGAATTTATTAACCAGCACACAGTGGAACACAAAGGAAAACAGATCTGTAAATACTTCCTGGAAGGGAGGTGTATTAAGGTAAATGTTAACATAAAGGGCACTATGAATCATTCTAACTTTCAAAGTCACCTTTAGAATTTGGTCCTTGGAGGGTCGTAATTTTCTTTCATTGCTCATATAGCTGCAGCGATGCTAGGTTTCAAAATTACCTTGTATGAAATTACTGTATGGATACAAGCTCATTTAGTTATATTCTGGGACAGCAACAATTGGTAGAAAACAGATTTTACTTGACAGATAATGTTAACATTTGTGACAGATACAGTTGTGGCTATCTGACAGTGTGGTATATCATTCATGGTCTAGCTGACACATGGTAGTTTAATCTTTATACCTGTCCTGCTAAGTAGTAGTTGCTAGTAGCCTTGCTTTAAACCTGACACCAAGAGTTTAAATAAGTTCCTAAGCTACAGCCAGAAGTGGTGGGTGTTGGAAGGACACTGGCAGAATCCTGAGACCACATACATGCTTGGGCAGGACTTAAGAGGGAATATCTGCTTTGTTCATAGCCTAGTGTCTACAACTAAAGATAGCCAGAATCCCACCGTGGAACACATGAAGAGATATAACTGAATTCTTTCTTTTTTGGTGTTTTTGTTTAAACAGGGAGATCATTGTAAATTTGATCATGATGCAGAATTGGAGAAGAAGAAGGAGATCTGCAAATACTATTTACAGCGATATTGCACCAAAGGAGATAACTGCATTTATATGCATAATATCCTTTATAGAAATTATATAGCAACCAACATTCTGATCTTCTGTCATTGTGGTTTTAAAAAAGTCATAAATACAATCTAGAAATTCTAGCTTGGATGATTCATCTTATCATTTTAAGTTTAAAATGACACATGTTATAAACCCAGTCTTCTCAGCCTCAGTGCTTCAAATGGGTGAAGTGCCCAGGAATACAGGAATGAATCTCTTTATAACCCAAGAGAATGCAAAGCCTTCTTTGCAAAACTAGAAGCAGTAAGGAAAAAGACTAAAAATTTGACTACACACAACTTTAAATTTTTATAATAAAAATCTACAAGCTAAGTAAACACATTAGAACATAGGAAATTATTTATGTAATTTAGTAAGAAGGAATGCCATTGCTGTAATAATTTCCTAAAGATTGAGATGATTGGGAGCAAAGAAAAAGAAGATTCACAGAAAGAGAACAACTGGTCAAAAATCAAGTGGAAAGATGCTTTATGTTACTCATAGTAAGGAATATAACTAAAACCATACCAAGATAACAGATATCAGATTCACAAAAGCCCAATTTGTTAACAGAACTGTGAGAAGAGAGACACACTTGAGTTCTCTTGATGGGCAGGTCACAGTGGCACATCTTTACCTATTATTCTTTGTGTTCATCCTCCATGTTCAGCCTATGTGATATGTCACCTGGCAAATTTACCTGATTTCTTTGTTAAAATATAATTTGTCTTAGCCAAGAGAATAAAAATGCATTGTTTTCAAATTTGATATCATTCCTTAGAAATCAAATACCAAATTCTGTTTTTTAGAAGTTTCTGCTGTGCTCTTTAGGGTCTCATGTCACCTGGAAATAAATTATGTTTTATTTTATTCACTTTCATTATATTTTATTATACTTTGTTGGGTTTTGTTCAGGTTGTTTGTTTGTTTGTTTGTTTGTTTGAGACAGTTTTACTCTATAGCCTGGACTGGCCTTATACTTACTGTATTGCATAAGGCAACCTTGAATTACTTGGCCTTCAGGAATTAAAAATGTATGCCATCATGACTTTCCTAATTTTAATTAAACTCAGTATACCTTTACAGTAATGCTAAGTAATAGTGATTGGGGCAGACATAATACTTGTCTTAACATGTTTTTTAATCTAAGTATGTTTTACTAAGATTTTTTATTAATTGAAAAATATTTTGAATTTTTTTAGTTTATTTCTTTATTTTTCATTAGCCAGAATTAGACAGACTACAAGGAAACAATGTCTTCCAGGCATAGCAGTGCTGGTGCAAGTATTAAGGAACACAGAACAGTTGTGACAGCAAGCACAAGATGTGCTAGTCCAAGCCAGACACAATGCAAGCATGCAGAGGGGAGGTTGACAGGAAGTACCAGCCAGCTGAGGAGGTATTGGCAGATGAAAGCAGCTAAGAGAGGAAGAGTCAGTTTTCTTTAAAAGCATTTTTCTAGGTAGGTCAGCAATGCTCCAGCAGAAGGTTACACGCCCAAGAATTTATGGTCAACACAAATTAGATCTAATGTTTTTGGTTATTTGGAGGGGAAGCACAAAGTTGGGTGGATAGAGAAGGGAGTGTATCTGAGGGGAATTGAGGGGCGAATAATACCAAAACATTCTGAATGGAATTTTTAAAGAACTAATTAAAATGAAGAAAATATTTGTAGTTGTAGAATAAGTTTAAAATCTTTTAAATCTTCTAATAATTTTCATTATTAAAATACTGATTTATAGTAAGTTAATAGATGTGATTACAGATTCTTCGGTACAGTAAATACTAGTAGAATTGTATTGATTTAGCTTTTTTGTTGTGGTAAGAAGACTTAAGTGCGATATATTTTCTTAGCAATTGTTAAGTTATAACATGCAAGTGTTGACTGTTGTGCAGCAGATATCTGGAAGTTAATCAGCTTTGTAATAGTTATTGGTTAGTTAGTTAGTTAGTTAGTTTGTTTGTTTGTTTGTTTTTTAATGAAAAGATTAGACCTTGGGTCTTGATGGCCCAGTAAAGTGCTTGCTATATAAGCATGAGGAAACTGAGTTCAGATCTCCAGCTCCCGTGTAAAAGTTGGGTACAATGGTGTGTGTCTAACCTTAGTGCTAGGAGATGGATGGAGACAAATTCCTAGAATTTGACACACATGGTATATAATCACTTATATAGACATATAACATAAGATAAACATGCTGAAATCTATACACCTAAAGAAGATAAACAAGAAAGAGGCCCCGGGGTAAGATAATCAATCCTTACTTAGACAAATGGCATGGACATTGGATGTAGGAGAAAACAAGTAACTGGACAGGAGCTTACCACAGAGGGCCTCTGAAAGACTCTACCTAGCAGTGTATCAAAGCAGATATTAAGACTCATAACCAAACCTTGGGCAGAGTGCAGGGAATCATAAGAAAGAAGGGGGAATTAATATGACCTGGAGAGGACAGGAGCTCCACAAGGACCAAATATATCTGGGCACAGAGGTCTTTTATGAGACTGTTTGTCCAACCAAGGACTATGTATGGTTATAACCTAGAACCCCTGCTCGGATGTCGCCCGTGGTAGCTCAGTATCCAAGTGGGTACTCTAGTAAGGGGAACAAGGACTGTTTCTGACATGAACTCAATGGTGGGCTCTTTGACACCCCACCCCCGAGGGAGGAGCAGCCCTGCGAGGCCACAGAGGAGGTCTTTGCAGCCAGTCCTGAAGATACCTGATCAACCAGAGTCAGATGAAAGGGGAGGAGGTCCTCCCCTATCAATCAGTGGACTTGGAAAGGGTCAGGGAAGAGATGAGAGAGGGAGGGTGGGATTGGGAGGGAATGAGGGACCAGGATACAGCAGGGATACAAAGTTAATAAACTGTAACTAATATTAAAAAAAAATTAAGGTTGAGAATGATAGAGGAAGACACTCAGTGTTCTCTGCCTCACACAGGCAGATGTGCACACACATACACATACACAGTTATACTTGATTTTACTTGGTTTGTTCCTTAATATTTTTGTTTATGTGAATTTCCTTGCAAGTTCTATCATAGTGGAGCAAAGTGCTACCAAGGAGACAATTGTAAGTTTTCCCATGATGACCTGACTAAAGAAACAAAGAAACTTTTGGACAAAGTGAGTAGTGTTTTGTACCATTGATTTTTTTTTTTTTTTACTGAAATCATTTTATAGAGTATTTTATTAGTTTGCTAAAAATTGAATTCTTGTAGGTTTTGTCCTATTATCATAGTTTGTTAGAAAATAGAATTGTTAGTCTAGGAATTTGAGAATATTTTAAGCTGATCCCTATTCTGACACTAAAAGAAATAATTTGAGCAATACTCCAAACTGTTACCTGTAATCAGGTTTTTCTAGACCTTTGGCCTTTTATCCAAAGATTGAAAATAAGGGCTCATGTACAATTGCAAAGTAGGATTATAACTTTCTCTAGAGCAAAGGACAGTACAAGTTAGGACACTTGTCAAAACTGACAGTCATGTGCGTAGGGTTTAAGAAGAGGAGAAATATAGCGTGGGTGGTTCTCCATCTTTATATTGTATGAATGTTTTGCCTACATGCATGTATGTGTACCACGGGTATGCCTACTGTCCTCAGAGGCCAGAAAACTGTGTCAGATCCCTTGCAACTACAGTTACAGATAGTTGTGAGCTGCTGTGTGGGTGCTGGGAACTTAACCTGGATCCTTTGGAAGAATAGCCAGTGTTCTTAACCACTGGCCGTTGGTCCAGCCCCTAGTTCTCTTTTTTGGTTGATAGTTTAGGTCATATAATAATATATGTAATAATATAATTATATATATATATATATATATTTGGTTTTTGGAGATAAGGTTTTTCTGAAATGCCTTAGCTGACCTGGAATTGCTTTGTAGACCAGGCTTCAAACTCATAGAGGTCCGCTTTCCTCTGCCTCCCCATGTGCTGGGATTACAGGCATGTTCCACCATGCCCAGCCACATAATAATTTTTATTGCTTATCTCGCTTCCCACAATACATCATATTTTAATTATATACACACCCAATTACACCTAAGTATAAATAAGATGGAAATAGAGAATTCCCCCTAAAAGTTTACTTTAAAGACAGTTTGCTTTGGTGTACATGTACCTAAAACCAGTTGATGCAGGATCAGCCCTTCTGTTTTTCATATTGAACACTGAGCATACGCCTGAAAAAGGCTGTCTAAATTTGATACTAGGAGTGGAGAAATCTATGCTGTTGTTCAGAGATGAGAGTATATGTACCCAAGCAGATGGGGATTCTGGGGGGTTCTGAGGTTGGTTGGTACATATTTGGAGAGGGGTGTGTATGTATAATACATTCAGGTGAAGGAGCAAGGCTGCTGAGTGCATTATACAAAAGGAGTGTCTGTGTGTTTATGTGTCTGTTTGTCGGTGTGTCTGTGGTGTATACCAAAATCAAAGAGGGATCCAAACTAAGTTATCTTCTGTGTTTGACTGCTTTAAAACTATTTTGAAATTTGTTCTGTGTATTAAAATAGTTACCATTTCAACTTTAGTGTTATTTTTTTTTTTTCTTTTTAACGTGTCACTTTTCTGTGAGGTAGAAACTCATACTTAAGTACTAACCTTCACAATCGTCCAGGTGCTGAATGCTGATGAAGAACTTCTAAATGAAGATGAAAGAGAATTAGAAGAACTGAGAAAGCATGGCATAACTCCTCTCCCTAAGCCGCCCCCTGGAGTCGGGCTTCTTCCAACCCCATCGGAGCACTTTGCCACTTCTGATCCTGAAGACAATTTCGAGACAGATCTTTCTGATGATATGAAGAAAATTCCATCTCTTTTTGAAATAGTTGTAAAACCTACTGTGGATTTAGCGCATAAAATTGGGAAGAAGTAAGTTAAACCACCAGAATGGTAGCGCTTTCCCTAACACTAAGATACCAAGGAATGTTCCAAGTCACCCACATAGTTAAACTTAGCAGAGAACAGTTACTGGGCCTGGTGTGGGGTTGCTGCATCCCTTTTCTCCTCACCTTTACCTTCTTTCTTGTCCCAGAGATTTTCTCTGCAGAAGGACTGCACAACTGTAGAGGCTTTGAGTGCCACTGCCAGGGAAACAGGAAACTGTAGAGAAAAGGCCTCCATCAGAATGGCCTGTAGGCAAGACTGGAGGGGCATTTTCTTAGTTAATGATTGATTTGTAGGACAGAGCCACTGAGGGTGATGGCACCCTTGGACAGGTGGGAACAGAGCAGGCTGACAAAGCTACTATGGGGCAAACCAGTGGTAGGCAGTGTTCCTCCATGGTCTCTGCTTCCGTTCTTGCCTTGAGTTTCTGCCCCAGCTTCCCTTGATGATGGACTGCACTATAAGATGCACCCTCCTCAGGGTGCTTTTTTTTTTTTTTTTCTTTGAAGTGTTTATCACAGTAACAGAAAGCAAATTAGGATAGGAAGCTGAAGTAGGATTAAGAGGTTAAGGACATTCTGGGCTATTTAGTGGACTTTGTCTCAAAATTTAAAAGGACAGGATTACCCACCCATTTGCCAATATTTTATATCATATTGTAATCAATGAACTAAGAGAAAGATGTAAATACATCAAAATTAGAAATCTAGTGGGAGACTCATCCATCACTGGGCAGTTTCTCTTAATAAAACTCAAAATGAACTGACAAAGCTATTAGAGAATAAATACATAAGTGAGTATTAAAAATGAAGTTTTTTGTATGCCAGCAGTATATTCTTCCATTTGGGTTGTAGAGAAGTCTCCTAGTACTTGGATTCAAGGTGACTTTCATTTGTCTTTGCAGTTTGTTTGTTTGTTTATTTATTTATTCATTCATTTAGTATTTTGAAACAGCTGGTAGTGAGCAGCAATTATGAAAACCATATCTGAAATGAAAGCAGGAGACACTTGTGTTTCTACCTGCCAACAATATGGAATAAGTAATCTCTTAAATACATGGGTTTTAATTGAACATAAAGATCATACTTTGCTACTGTCTATTTAGTAGTATAACTTTTTTGGTTGTATCTTTACTTTGATGAGAAATACTGGTTTTTTGTTTGTTTGTTTTGTATCTACAGACCACCAGCATTTTACAACAGTGCCTCACCGCCAGGACCACAGTTTGAGGAAGGCAGTCCCTGCCCACAGCATATGTACAGTTCTGAGTCAAGTCCAGGTCCAGGACCTAATGTGCCTCACAGGACTATCACATCCTTGAGGCACATTAGGTCCTGGACATCATCCATGTGTGGGACTTCCTGGTCCACCAATGCAAGAGAGCCCACATTTGCCACCAGGTTCATCTGAAATTGTAGGCTCTCATAGTCAAGGTGGAGGGCTTGTTCAGCTGGATACTCTACCAAGTATGGGCGGAGCTTATCATTCCCCTAGCTTTCCAGGTCATGTGATGAAAGTCCCTAGAGAGAATCAGGGCTCTTCAGCTTCCCTGTACCAGCAGATGACTGGGGAAGCACAACTCAACACTGAGGCCGAGTCTCTGCCAGTCCCAGCTGAGCTATATGATGATTACTACCCACAGCATGCTGCACAAAGCTTTCAACCACCTGATAACTCTGCTGGTAAGAGTACTGTTGGGAGCAACTAATGTCTAATGTGAAGTAGTAAGACTTGCTTTTCTTTTAAAGCATGCATTTTAAATTAAGTAAAACATAAAATTGAAACCTTGAAATGTTCAATTTCTTCAAAACTATAGAAACAAAACTTTAGCTAACTTGTGATGCAATAAAGTTATCAATAATATTAAAAAACACAAAATATTTTTTAAAAATATTAAATTACACAACTTAGGACTCCAGTGTGCTGCTTAGAAAACATTCTGTCTTACAGTGTGGTGAAGTTTGAACTCAGTGTCTCTCTTCTGTTGTCTGTAGAGGAGATGTGGTATGAAGAGTTTGCACAGCAGCAGCCTCCTAACCTTGGGAGTGGGCCCAACACCAGCAGCAATATGACAAGTCACTGCCCTCTGCCTGCTTCAGGGCTCCCTCCTGCAGTGCAGAGAGCTCTCTTCATCCAGTTGTCTCAGAGATACCAAGATGAACCAGCTGGCATCCAGCCTCATCGAGCATCAAGCAAGGAAGAAGGTTTTATAGCTTCTTAACTTTTGAAATAAGTGAAAATGAGTTCCTCTGCCCTGTCTATTTCTTAGAATCCTTTCTGACTTGAGTGATGAATAACAGTTGCAAAAGTTATGTTTATACGTAAGCATAAATAAGATGGTAAATAGAGTATTTCTAAAGTTTACTTGAAAGATACAATTTGCCTTACTGTACATGTACCTAAAACCAGTTGCTGCAGGATCAGCCCTTCTGTTTTTCATATTAAACACTGACAATACACTTCAGTAAGAGGCAAGTGGTTCTCTGTGAGTTTGAGGCCAGCCTAATCCACAAAGTGGGTCCAGGCAGCCAAGGCTACACAGAGAAACCCGGTCTCCAAAAAACAACAACAAAACAGAAAAGAAACTGTCTAAATTTTATTGTTATTAGGAATGTAGAAATTGGAAATATTCAGAGGTGAGAGTACATGTAGCCAAGTAGGTGGGGTCCCTTTTAGTGATTGTACTAAATAGTATGTGTTTGTAATCTTAAGGTCAAATATGAATGCTTTGTTTTTAACCACAGCTTCTGTCTCTATTCAGATGATACAGTTAACTGGTATTCCAGTAGTGAAGAGGAAGAAGGAAGTGGTGTCAAGTCAATACTGAGGACATTACAGAAACAAACAGGAACTCATCAGCAACAGCCTCCCCGAGAGCTTAGCATTCCTACTGATCCAAGACTTGCTAAAGCGAAAAGGAAAGGAAGTCAAGTGGTTGACCCAAGACTTCGGACTGTCCCAAGGCAAGATGTTAGAAAGCCGCATGAGTCTGTCCCAGTGAACCTTAGACTTGTGTGGGATCCCAGGAAATTAAGAGGGAATGGAAATGTTCCCGGAGCTAGTGGAGCAAAGTTTGATTTACATCATGTAAATGCTGATGCAAATTGCAAACCCAAAAGAAGAGATGATGATGATGAAGATACAGAAAGAGAACTGAGGGAAAAAGCCTTCTTAATACCATTGGATTCTTTACCTGGTGTAGTACTCCAGGATCCAAGGTCACAGTTAAGACAGTTCAGTCATATTAAAATGGACATCATTCTAACCAAACCCAACTTTGCAAAACACATTGTGTGGGCTCCAGAAGACTTACTTCCAGTACCTTTACCTAAACCTGATCCAGTATCTTCAATCAATTTACCTCTGCCCCCACTTATAGCTGACCAGAGGCTCAATAGGTTATGGAATACAAAAAGTGATCATCAGAAGTCCCTGTCGCTTGAGCCAAAATCAGCAGCCAAAACCAAAATGAATCTAACACACAGAGAGGGCTACTTAGAACAGTTTGGAGACTTACATAGTTCCGGGGCTAAATTAGGAGACCCTAGGCTGCAAAAGCATTTTGATCCTAGGCTTCACAGAGTGCCCAGTACAGAGTCTCACCAAGTGGCCATAAAGGACTCACATGCATCAAAGAGTGCCCCTCCCTTAGCCACATCAAACCCTGCTCTGTCACAGTCCTCAACAGCAGTACCTATTAATGCTGGCCCTGTGACTCTTCCTCCATATGCCCCTAAACTCTCTTCGTCAGATGGCCTCCCACTAGGAACTTCAAGTTCAGTTGTTAGTGGCATTAGTTTGTATGATCCTAGGGAGAAGGGCTCAGTGTCTACATCAGAGCTATCAACCATTTCTTCCGGAGAAAATGCAGAGAACCAGAAAAAAAGTTGTTTGAAAAATAGTGATAAAAGTGAACCTTCACCTAGAGAAGTGATCCTGCAACAGAAAACTAATGCAGACATGGAAGTTCCTGTTGCTGGGCCAGTCGACACGCAGGAAGACATTCTCAGGAGTGCTGAGACGGTTCAGGTCCCTGCTGTGCATAGTCTTCCTATTCAGGCCTTAACAGGCCTAATTAGACCTCCATACAGTGATCCAAAGCAGGCAAGAGAGTCAGGACAGGCAAGTCCAACCCCAGATGATGATCCTAGTAGAGAAACGGATGACAAATCTCTGAAAGAGGTTTTTAAGACATTTGATCCAACTGCGTCACCATTTTGTTAGCTGTTGTGTAGTTAAGCTGTTCTCATGCTGACTATCAGTCCTTTGCTGTTTTGTAACTGGTTTACCTCTATATTTATTTTTTAAATTATAAACATTTTTCAGCTGCTAGTATCAGAACCACATGAACTTCTCTCCTCTAAAGTCTGTGGTGTTTTATACAATATTTTTATAACTTCAAGAGACTGTAGTATAAAAATACATATCATGTTAGCCTTAGTGAAAGTACTTTATTGTTAAAAGTGAACCATCATGAACACAGCACTCAGCCTGAGTATATGCCAGTTGTCTTTTGTAATCATTGTTTAGGTTAACAATTGCCACTTTTATATGGTTGTTTAGTTTCAAGCAATATGATATGTTACTTTTGAGAATCAGTATTTTAACTAGGATCCTCTCTGCCAGCACAAACCTATTAGTGTGTAACACCACTGCTAAGTCAAGTGCAAAGTGCAAACAAATTCATTAGCTGAGCTCGTGTTTAAGAGCATCACTTGATTAGCATTGGCAATACTGTTTGTGTACAGGAAGCACTTGAATGTTGTATCTTTTTTTTCTTCAAATTCTGGTTTTTATTAAGACAGGAAGGGAGGAGTGACTGAACTTTAAGGCAACAGGTGTGTGGATACTTCGAGACCAGTAGGAGGCATTTTATAGATAAAGAGCCTCTCCCTTGCTTGGCAACACCTGCCCTGCTCTCCAGAGGAAGGCTGGGCGGGCTTCTGTTCTAAAGGGAGTAAGACTCACCAATGCCAGTGAGGCACAGCACAGCTTTGGCCATGGGGACCAGTTTGTCAGGACAGTAGTATAAAACCAGCACCTTGTCTTCGTCCACAGTAGGGCTGGGTGACACCATTGTGAGTACTGTGGGTAGAGCCACTGGCCGCCAGACCACAACATGATCCTTCTCAGTAATGACTGTGCCGGAGATGTGGATCAAGACCCTGGGGGAGCCATGAAGGACGAAAGAATCACACTTCTGGGGTGCAGACCTCAAATTGTACCATTCTTCCAATTTGGTTTCTGTTTGCTCTAGTTGTGATAACACTTTTGTAATTTTTTTAGAGTTGTGTACTTCATCGACTTTAGTTTACACTGTTTCAATTTTTTTGTAAGTACATCACCACAACCATCTTTAATTTCTAGTAATATAAATATAATATATATTACTCCATAGTTCCAGTAGGCAACCAGAATCTGTATCTTCCCCAAGAGGGTTTTTTCACTTCTGCCTTTTCCAAATCTGGATCATCATCCTGGTCTAGCTGTACTGGGATAACTGGAGTGCTGATAGCCTTGGAAGCATTGATCGCTTTGATCAGAGACATGGTGATGTCCATGATGGCTGTCTTACTTAGGGGAAAGTCTTCGTGGTCACCTGGGTACCTGGCTGGCCCATGCTCTGTACCCAGAGTGCACCTGTTTCAGAGGCTGGCTCCATCTCTGCCCTGACACTGGACGGCTGTGCACTGTTGGTCCTGGACAAGCTCCAAGCACTGACTCCTGCCAGTCTGCTTGCTGCTACTGGACTGAAAGTTTCTGTGCATCTTGCCAGCCTTTAGCCCTCCAGCTCTCCAATGTTGTATCTTTCAAAAGTATTTTATTGTACACTGTATCATAGAAGCTGAAGGAATATAAATAAAATGTTTTGCTACAGTAAAAAATTTCCAGGTTCTCTAAAAGAACTTTTAAATTTTAATTTTTCATATTAAATAGTTATGAGTTCACTGCTGTATCACATTGTAATGTTTATGTATTTCAGTGTTTTGTCTTTAGCAGCATAATTTTTATCTCAAACGTTGTAACTGCAATAATTGTGCTCATCATGACTGTGGCAATTTTTAACAGAATTTTCAAAGTGAGCTTGTAATTATGCTGATAATGTTTTAAATGTCTAGATTCTATATTTTTTCTTGCATAGCAAAAAAAAAAAAAACCCACTGAGATGGCAGGTATGTTCCACTGTGTATGGTACCAATAAAGAATCTTTTAGATCTTACATGGCTTGTTTTATAACAGATTACCTGTGTTTTAATTATTTAATGTCCTCAGAGTTTTGAACTCTTAAGTTGATTGGAAATTGTATTTTACGAAAAGTAATGAATGCATTGCTGTGTGTTCATTGCAGTGTATGGGTAATGGCACATGTTTTATGATGTAACTCAAACTCACAGTGTTACCCTGACATGGTCTCTTGGACTGCTGGTGTATGGCAGTGTTTGCTGGGTGGCTTTAGTAAATCACTGAAAAGATTTGTTAGGAGAGAGGAAGCAACAAGACCAGTCCTTGGTTGAAGCGAGCTCTCACAGAAGCAGTTTCACACTTAACAAATGTGTTCCTTTCTATTTGTTGCCTAATATGGGTCTGGATAACAGGGTAGGGTTAAAGATACTGTTTAAAGCCACAGTAGAAACTATGTTCCTGACTTGTCCAAATGAACTTTACTGTTAATTGAAAAGTCAATAAAATAGATAAAACGTATAAAAAATACCCCAAAGTAGTACAATATTCTCTTTTATCAGAATTTTTTAAACAATAAAATAGCTAAATTTTAGTGAATCAAACATTTATCAAATTTTTTAGTTCACTCATGCATTTATCCTTATAGTTGAATTAGTAATACTTCAAAATATACAAAAAGATAATTTGACCTATTAAATAGGAAACTCTTAATGGAAGCTCTCTTTTTAAATTACTGAAAAGGAAGTTAGATGAATAAAAGTAGGGTTTACGGGGCACAGTGGTGCTTGCCAGTAATCCCAGCACTTGGGGAGGCACAGGCAGCGGGGGTCACTGTCAGTTCCAGAGCAAGTCAAGGACAGCTAAGGCTGTGCAGAGAAACTCAAAAAAGGGGAGGTTTAAAAGGTATTCCAGTGATGGAATATTTGTTCATTTCGTTGTCTTAGTCACTGTTTTATTGTGAAGAGACACCAGGACCGGGGCTACTCTTAAAAGATTTAATTGGGGGTCTTGCTCACAAGTTTAGAGATTTCGCCCATTATCAGCGTGCTGGGAACCGTGGTGGGAGCACGGCAGCACTTGGGTTGGTAGCAATAGCTGAGAGAGACACCCTGATCCACAGGCCAGGAGAGAAAATGGGCTTGACATGGGCTTTTGAAACCTCAAAGCCTATCCCCAGTGACTTACCTCCTCCAAGGCCACACTTCCTAATCCTAGTTCTTCTCTTATAGTGCCACTCTGTGATGACTAAGCAAATAAATGAGCCTATAGAGGCCAGTCTTATTCAAACCACTACCCATTCTTGGGTGTTTATTTTATTAACTAGAGTCCTAAAGGCTATTTTGCAACAAATTTTATCTTGGTTTCAAGTTTAACAGCATAATTTGTTGGAGGTTGGTCTAACACATGTTACTAGCCCTCAAGTACACCTATCCTTGTGTAAACCTACCTGATTGGCTAATTAAACAGCCTATATTGGGATAGGACAGAATGGGGGAGGCTTGGCTAAGGCTCCCAGGGTAGGAGAGGACAGGAGAATCACAGGAGACAAACCAAATGTTGAAGCAGTTTTACACTTTTAGGTAATTGACCCCATGAAACCTCCATATTTCCCACCTTGTTTTTCAAACCCCAGAACTTGGCTGCAGTGAAAGGTGGATTATGCGGTGATGTGTGCTTAGGTTTTTTATTTTAACTTTCCCTAGGACTTGAGACTTTAGTGCTCCTGTTAGTTGTATTTTTTTTTTTAATTGAAAGAACCATTGTGTAGATAATTCTTCCTTAAACTGAATAGTTATGGGACTGGAAGGACAGAGAGCTGTTGAAGTTTAAAGATAACAATTCACATCCTTGTTCGGATTGATTTCTAAACTTGATCTCACTGTTTAGTTTCTTATCTGTGAGATATAAATAATCCTATTTGTTCAGAGGTTTGAGGTGGGGAGGGAATTGTTTTTATAAATACAAATTTGCCCTCTGTTCACTACAGACACAATCCCTGCATTCCTATTAGGATTATTAAATTATGCAGCATTGTTCCAAAATAATCAGGTATGACTTGTGTGGTTTGCCAAGTTTATGAAGCTTTAGATGTGTACTGAACTCGTAAGAGGAAAATTGCCTGATAACTTGTTTCAGAGAGTGTTAACTCACCAGGTTAACAGGTTTTTAAATGTCAGTGTGTATGAAACATAGAACTTTTCTACCGTAGAGGTATATTGATTTGTAGTTTGTCACAGTGATCTGACCTGTCCATTTTATACATTGCTTTGCTGCTGGGCCATGTACGTCTGATGAAGTAGCTTGGAGGGTGGACTGGACATCTATTCAGTGTAAAAGCCACTGATTCTTAGAACCTGATTCAGGTGGGCATGTGACCACACTGGTTATTTGTGAGTTATTCCTGTTGTAAATGTAAAACGTGTGAGAAAAAAATGGATATATATTAGCAGTACATTAAAAATGGCAGCTCTTTTCATGTGATCAGTCCTCATACTTCTGACTCACTGCTGATTTTATATAAACAATTTTTGTTTTCTTTCAGTGCTGGAGATGGAACCTAGAGCCTCAGCATGCCAGGCAGGAACGAAGTCTGAGCTACACTTCCCAGCCCTTCACTGTGGACTTAAGTAGCTTCATAAGGATATAAAGGTTGGAAGGGATAATAAAATTTGCGTTTTGTTAGTATCTGGTCAAAGGGTTTTGATTCATAATTTGTTATAAAGAAAAACATACAGAGGCTGAATTTTTAAACAATGACAATTTTTTTCCTAGGCCTCTCTTGCCATCAGGTCTTGGAGGTTGCACACTTTACATGCTGTTTAAGTCAGCACGTAGGAGAATGTGGTCACACAATCATTTCAGGTAAGAGGTTTGTCACTTACCTTCATTTTACAGTTTCTCCTCCAGGCACTTAAGGGGAAGGTGGAGGGAAGAATTTTTTTTTCCCAAGAAACAGTATACTATTTCCATATAAAAATGACAGTCAAGAAATAGTCATTTGTGTATTAACTTGTCAACATTTAAAACATTTTCACCTTGCTTATGTTATGCTTGCTGCCCCACCTCACTCAGAAAGGGGCTTAGCATAGATCCAGGGTTTGCATAAGACCAGGGTATCTGGTGGCCCCTGTACCCAAAAGCTCTGCCACAGTGGTCAAAGTGTCCAGACTTGGCAATCTATTTGCTCTCAGATCCACAAACACCATATATCTGGGCTGAAATCCAGGTTGTACCTACTTAGGATGAAGTGTTTGATTTGAAGTTTCCAGTATTATCATCTCGTCCCTCCAAATTGTATGTAAAATTTTTGGAGAAATTCTCCTCACCCTGTTTCACTTGGGAAGGTTTATATATACCAATTTACTAGACTAACTAATTTGTTAGTTTGTTAATTTGTTAATTTGTTCAAAGAGTACAACCAAGGATATACTTTGCTGAACTGATCAACTATAATGTTAAGAACTAACAAATCACTTGTAAAAAGGTAGAATCACATTTTTTTATTTATTAATAAGTTTTCTAAGTGGCATTTTCAGTAGTGGCACTGCTGCAGGTTTCTGTAGTGCTTTTGTCCTGTGCATTCCTAACTGTGCATCTGGAGGTATGCTGTTTTCCTCTAATTCAGCATTGAAAGAGGAGCCTGTGAACATACAGTTTGTAAAAGGGGCTCTTCCTGAGCCTTCCTTCAAAAGGAGGCAGCATTACACTGCTTTTTATTCCTCCTTCGACCATTGTCCACTGCCAAAATAGTCTTCTTTGACCAGAAGAAGTCTAAGAACTGTGCTTGGCTATGGATGTAAACACAAATATTTGCAAGGCAGGTTAACTACCTGTTGGCCAAACATCAGTAGTAGATTCCTTATAGGATATGTAACCCACACAAAGTTTTGACCATACTAGGCACATATTCTGTCTTGTGGACTAGTTCTCAAATCAGTCAGGAAATAATTGGTTACTCCCTGAGCATTCACTTCACTATTGCGCCAGCAGGCAACTCTTGCTAGGTGATTACTATTGAAACACAGAGATCTGCAGGCGGGAGTGCTAGCTGATGGCTTTCTCCCTCCACAGCATGCAGACCACCATCAGGCATTATGAAGTGGAGCCAGCAGGGAGCTTCCAGCTCACTTCCAGCTTGCTCTCCTTGTCCATCTCTGTGTAATTCTGGTGGGCAGCCAAGAGCAGTGGCAACAGCCTGTATCATTTTGGGAGCCACATTGCTACCTTTATTCTTTTTGTGTTAGGAAATGAGTCTATCTAATCGTCACTATTTAATCTTCATTTGTCTCTTCCTCTGGCCAGAGCAGAAAGTCCTGTTGAAGCTTAATGTGTAGGTGAAGTGAGTGCACAACTGAGGCTGAGCAGGAGAATTCTTGGCCAGAGTAAAGTAACAGTGCTTGTTTCTGCCTTAAACAGCCACGAGTCAGCTAGCAAATTTATGAAACCAAAATAGGGTTGTTTGAGAAGTATAATAAAATGAATGAACCACTAGCCATGATAATATAGGAGAGAATCAGTGCACAAATTGACAGTATAGGAACTGAAATATGTGACATTATTATGTATTTGACAGAAAAAAAAGAATAATGCAGAAATATTATCCACAAAATCATTCCAATAAGCTCAATCACTGAAGTTCATGGTAGTTTTATTTTTCACAATAGTCAAAATTGGGAAGAACCCAAATTCCTGAACCCAAATGTAAAGTGAGGTTTGCCCATACAATGGAAATATTAGGCAGAGAGAAGTAAAGTACCAATATAAATGCACTTTCAAAAGTTATGCTAAGCAACATAAGCCAGACACACACACAGTGCATGTGCACAAACACATACAGAAACAACACACAAAACCACTTTATTATTCTATTTATAGGAACTGTCCAATCTATAAAAAAATATACAGAAAGTAATTAACAGCAACTAGGCTAGGGTAGGAGGAGAAGACCACAAAAGAGACTTTCTTGGGGATGAGTGAAATATCCTAGAGCTAACTGTGCTGACTCTTGCATAAATCTGTGAGCATTAAAGGGTATAC